GGTCCCTGGGAAGGACTAGGGGGGCTGCAGTAAAAGGGGGTGATGAACCCTCATCCCTCGGCTTTGACATAGCCTGAGTCCTCATTCTGTCTGTGAGAAGTCTCCTAATCTTTTGGCTGCCTTACTTCCCCTGCCTGACATAAGCCTGAAACAATGACAAAGGACAGTGCAGCCCTGTGCTGGAAAGCATGGGTCCTGGGGTGATCAGGCCTAAGAAAGAATACATAAAATCCTGTGAAACCTGCTTTGATAAGAATACTCTCAATTAAATGATAAGGGTCCAAGCAGGAAATGAGTTTGTTTCCCAAAGTTTTGTAGCCCTGTAGCTAACAGACCCTGACTCAGAATAGGCCCTTGTAGTTCTTCGTATGCTATCTATTGTTTGATCCTTACTGCCTGACAATGATTAATGAACTTTACTGGTATTCCTATGCAAATTGAAAACCAATAAAAACCCGTCAAGGCAAGGGATGGGGCACTCTCCCCTTGAGAGAGTAGCCGTGCTGTCCCTTTTCCTCCACAGGACTCAGTAGTCCATGTGAATGTATCTTATCTCATCTAAAACACCGCAGACACTGTGGCCCAGCGCATGTATCACGTAGTTAAAAAAATACTACCATGAGGCTTATGGCAAAATACACTAGTCTTTTATCATATCTCTATTCCATTCCTCAGAGGCAATTACTTTCAACTCTTTCCCTTGTTTTTAACCGTATTTTAAATAATATGCATATCCTACAATTTCTCAGTTTTTCAATTCTAGGCATTACATTATGGTGACTTCAGTACTCTATGTTTTCTTTGAGAGGGACAGAAACATCAGTGTGTGGTTGTCTCTCACATGCCCCTCACTGGGAACCTGGCCTGCAACCCAGGCATGTGCCCTGACTGGGAATCAAATTCAGTGACCCTTTGGTTCCCAGTCCAGTGTTTAATCCACGGAGCCACGCCAGCCAGGGATGTTTGTGCTTGCCTTTTGGTGAGCTCTTTTAATCTGGAAACTCAGGTTCCTCAGATCTGAAAAATTTTTCCTGTAGTGTTTCCTTTGATAATTTAAAGATGTTTGTTGTCAGGACTTGTTGAATAATCTAAACCAGCTCCTTTAAAAATATCCAGCAAATGCTTTTGGATGTTTTTGTATTTTGTGTTTCATTGTATTTTTCTGATTATAAAGATAACGTCTACATATTGCAAGAAATTCAAACAAAAGTGGAAACTATAATTTGATATGTTTTTTATTTAATTTTTAAAAGATATTTATTTATTTGTTTTTTAGAGAGGGGGAAGGGAGGGAGAAAGAGGGAGAGAGGTTTAGCTTTGCAGGATGATGCCCAATCATTCAGGGTACCAGGCTCACCAAATCTTTTTTTTTTAAATATTTTTAAAAATTGTTGTTCAAGTACAGTTTTCCGCCCTTTCCCCCCACCTCTCCCCACCACCCCAGCCTCCACTTCTCCTTCCCCTGTTTCCATCCCCCCTTGTTATTGTCCATATGTCCTCTATAATTGTTCCTGTAAACACTTCACCCTTTTCTCCCATTATCCCGTCCCCTCTCCCCTCTGGTCACTGGCAGCTTGTTCTTAATTTCAGTGTCTTTGGTTATATTTTGCTTGCTTGTTCATTTTGTTGACTAGGTTCCAGTTAAAGGTGAGATCATACGGTATTTGTCTTTCACTGCCTGGCTTATTTCACTTAGCAAAATTCTCTCCAGTTCCATCCATGCTGTTACAAAGGGTAGGAGCTCCTTCTTTCTGCTGTGTAGAATTCCAGTGTATAAATGTACCATAGTTTTTTCATCCACTCATTTACTGATGGGCACTTAGGTTGCTTCTAGCAATTGGCTGTTATAAATTGTGCTGCTATGAACATTGGGGTGTATATGTTTAAAAATCATGTTAAATTGCCCTGACTTGTTGCTGGCTCCATCCCCAGTCAGAGCACATTCCTGGGTTGCAAATTCAATCCCTGGTTGGGGTGTGTGTGAGAAGCAACCAATCCATGTTTCTCTCACACATCATTTCTCTCCCTCTCTTCCCCTTTCTCTAAAACCAATAAATAAAATATTTAAAAAAATTTTTTAATGTAATCTCTATTGTATTTTTTTCCGTTACCATTTAGTCCCCTTATACCTCCTCCCCCCAGCAATCACCACAGTGTTGTCCATGTCCATGAGTCCTTTTTCCTTTTTGTTCAATCCTTCAACCCCTCTTCTCCCCACCCAATTAGCTGTCATCCTACTTTCTTTTTTTTTAAATTTTATTTACTTATTTTTCAAGTACAGTTTTCTGTCTATCTCTCCCATCCCAGCCCAACCCGCCCTGTGCTCCCCACCTCCCTCCCATTTCCACCCCCCTTAGTTCTTGTCCTTGTGTCCTTCATACTTGTTCCTCTAAATCCCTCCCCTTTTTTCCCCTTAAATTCTCTCCCCTCTCCCCTCTGGTCACTGCCCCCCTATTCTCTGTTTCAGTGTCTTTCGTTTTTATTCTGTTTGCTTTTTTGTTTTGTTGTTTAGCTTCCTGTTAAAGGTGAGATCATATGGTATTTTTCTTTCAAATATTAAATTTTTTTTAATAAAAAGATTCAATGAAAATGGAGATGCAGTCATCAAAATATAAGGTCACTTTTAATAGTTGCACAGGATTCCATTGGAAAGATACACCATTATGTTAGTTGACCAGAAATCAGTTTATTTTTATGTAAAAAAAAATTGCTGAGCTGCACATCTTGTACACACAGACGCTACAATTTCAGTGGTCCTCTTATCCCTGCTGTCCTGGGGAACAGTGAAAGTAGGGGAAGGGTCATGAGAAGGTGGAATTTGACTCGTCCCTTATGGAGGAGCTGTAGGGAGAGTGTCTGAATGTCCCTGGAGATGACCTTGGCATTACCTCCCATATGGCAGTGCTTAGAGCAACAGCGCTGAAGCCTCAGCATGCACACATATCACCTGGGGAACTTGTTGCGGGCTCCAGAACTGCACTCCAGAGAGTCAGATTCGGTCTGAGGAGGAGTCCGAGAATCTGCATTTTTAACAAACACGCTAGCTGCTTGTCGTGTGGTTGGGTGGTGGGCCACATTTGGAGAAATACTGACTTAGAGAGTGGAAGAGAGAGTAGAGGGAGGTAAATAGTGTTCACTGGAGAAACTGGGTGAAGGAAGAGCTGGGTGGGAGCACAGTAAGACCTAGAGTAAAAACCCAGCGGGTCCAAGGTGTCCTGCAGGCTGTAAAATACACTTCAATCAGAGTGCCATTTTTTTGTTCAAATTATTTTAACAAATGGAGTGCTCAATTTTTTAGTATGCAAATAAAAAGTTGTCAAACCTGCCTCGTGTAATGGTTCAAGAAGAAGTGGCAATTCTCAGATGAAATCTGTGTAAAGGGTCCTGCCTGCCTCATGGTCTCATTAGAGACAGATAAATGACATATATCTGGTGATTTTTGTAAATTCTGTTACACCAAAAAAGTTGGTTTCACCAAGATTCATGGAATGCATCATCTAGAATAGCCAACAGTGAGCTCATTTTCTTAGGCTGACAATTCCTGTGAATTGTGAAAAGTTTTAGGTATTTGCAATCATAGATTTTGATAAGCCAATGAAATTTTTATATGATAAAGATGACAATATTTAGAAAAAATTAAAAATTATAAAAAACAAATCTCCTTTTAATCTCTAAAAGGATCCGTTGATCACCTTGGCCGGTGTGGCCCAGATGATTGCGCGTCATCCTGAAAACCAAAAGGTCTGGGATTCGATTCCCAGTGAAGGCGTATGTCTGGGTTGTGGGTTGGGGCCTTGGACGGGGTAGATTTCAGCACATACTAAAAGGCAACCAGTCAGTGTTTTTCTCCCTCTCTTTCTCCCTCCCTTTCTCTCTAAGTACTCTCTCCCTGCTTTCCTGTCTAAGAAAATCAGTTTAAAAAATGTCCTTGTGTGAAAAATAAGTAAATAAATGAAAGGATCCAATGATTCTGATAGTCACATGGAAAGACCTAAACTGTCTACCCCCAAACTATCTAGTTTATCCTTAAACTGTCATTTCCTCCTCTCCCTGGTGCTTAACATTATTCAGTTAATGACTGTGGGTACATAGAAGGAGCTCAGCATGTTCACTGGGGCATTTAAAATCCATAGGCTCTGTCTGGGAAAGGTGGGAGCCTAACTCGGTCCCCAGCAGAGATACCCAAGTTAGGGATCCTGCTGGAAAGTGGGAGAATAATCCCATCTTGGAGAGGATGCAGCACAACAGGAACTCTGATGGGTGGAACATGAGTTGGTCCATCTGCTCTGAAAAACAATTTGACCCAGTAATTCTACTCCAAGGTATACACCCCAGAGAAGCTCTTATACTTGGAGTCCAGCAAACATAGACACCAAAACAGCAAAAAATTGGAAAGAATCCAAATGCCCTTGGACAAAAGAATGGATAAATTATTTGTGATGTATTCACACAATAAAATACTATACCTAGTACAAATGAATAAACTATATACACATTGGCATGGATGAATTTGAGAAATATGAGTGAAAAAGTAATTCATAATATATATTCTTGTTGAATTTAAAAATAAGCAAAACTAAACAATTTATTGTTTGGGGCTTTATGTGTAGGAAAATGTAAAGGAAAGCAAAACATTGTGGGACAAATTTAGAAGAGCTGTCAGCATACGTCAGCCCCCACCCGAAACGTGGCCACTACTCAGGGTAAGGAGAGATCTTAGAGCACAGACAGTGATGTTCCAGCTCTTATGTGGGGTGGTGGGTTTACAAGTGTTTGTTTTATTATACATATGACTACATATATGTAACATATGTTCTTTGGGCTATATCAAATATTTCAAAATATAAAAAATAAAGAGGGAGAAAGATGAAACTTCTAGTCACTACTGTGGTCTCTCAAGGTTATTTATCCTCTGAACCCCATGTCTCCTCCAACAGGCGTGTGGACCAGGAAGCAAAATGTCAAGCCTGAAGAGACCAACAGAAGCTTATAAAAATCCACTCTTGGCTGGTGTTGCTCAGTGGATTGAATGCTGGCCTGCAAACCGAAAGGTTGTGCGTTTGATTCCTGGTCAGTAGACATGCCTGGGTTGTGGGCCAGGTCCTCAGTTGGGGGTGTGCGAGAGGCAACCAGTCACAAGCCCCTGTTCTGCCCCTTTCCAATCTGTTTCTCACAGACTGTATGTGTCACTAAGTCATGGCCTCTTTTCCCAGCCTAGCTGATTGCATGTTTAGATAAGATGCCACTTTTCTCTGACAACAACATATATTTGGGAACATTGTTTTCTGAACAAGTAAGCCATTCTAGCACCTATTTTTTCTTATCCTAATGCATCATTAGCATCTATCATTTTTCATCGGCCAGTGTCACATCTCGCTGGGCCTCCAGGCTTCCTTCTCCTTTCCTGGTCATGAGCTTTCTTGGCTTTCTTCCTGATTATGAGCTCAGCAGCAGGAGCAGAACTCTCCTGGGCCTCCAACGTTCCCCTCATGCATGTATATTAATTGAAAGAACACCCAACCTTTAGAAGAGGGGTAGAGCTCCTTCCTGAGTGAGGTCAAGCCTTGAACAATAGAGTTGAGTAGATTAGGATTCTAAATAGGCGAGTTCCAATCCCCTCTTCCCCTGCCTGACTGTGTGGCTTGTGGTAGGCCCTTCATTGCCATGGAGCCTATTGGTTCGCCCTAGAGAGAGTATTTTTGGGAACATAGATAATGTGCAAGGACCATTAAAGGATGAAAAAGATGTTAAAGTTCATTTAGTTTTACCCATTTATGTTAAAGATGGAACAACTAAGACTAAAGTGGGAAGGAGACTTGGATGGACTAGTGATGCTTTACTGACAGATTCTGGACTACAACCCAGTCTCCAGTCTCTCCATCCCTTTGCCTCCCTGTTGCCAAGGGATAGAGGTGAGGGAGACGGACCTACAGCCTAGCTTAGCTCTACCTGAGCTTCATCCAATAGCAAGAAGCTATTCAGTCAACCTTAGAAGATACTGCCTTTGAAACTGCTGACATTATCTGAGGGCGGGAGAGGCCTTCCTTACCTGTCAGCTGGTCCATTGCACAATCTGGCAGGCTGAGGCCTGAGGCTCTTCTTCCCACATTAGGCCCAGCTATAAAAGGGCAAAGTGAGGATTCAGGGAATAACAAAAATTTAGACACTACCCCTACCTCTCCCTCTGACCCTTCCCTCTCTCCCTGCAGGGGTTGGGGTACACTGGGGGCAAGAAAGGCCTGAGGAGGGAATGTAGGGGTGGGAAAGCAAGCTCTCCACAAGAGTTGAGGGGAGCAGGGAGTTCTCTTTTCCTCCTCACCCCAAGTGGGTATTTAATTTTGGGGAGGGAGTTTGTAGACAAGGTAGAATGGAGGAGGAAGCTTTGGCCTGGTCCTTCCGTTAGCCCTTGAGTTGAGCGTTTATCTTGAAATGAAGAAACAGGAGAAAGTGAGACAGAGGGCTGAGTTGACCTGTGAGGCTGCCACTCTAATGGAGGCAGTGGAGACTGGACTCAGTACAAAGATGTCTGGGGTCCCATTTGTGTCCCCTGGCCGGGGAGGCAGCAAATGGAGAGACCAGAACTGCACATGGCCTCTCCCAGCGCTGGCACACACAGACTGCCATACGTCAGCCCCCATCTGAAATGTAGCCACTGCTCAGGATTCCATCAAAGGCCCCGAGCAACCTGATTAGAGCTTGTGTTGTTTTGTTTTGTTTTGTTTTTATTATTATTATTCAACTGTCATATCTGAGACTACCTACTATAACACAAAGGGGGGGCTCTTTTTTCATTTAACTTTACAATATGCATAGCAGGTCCAGGCTAGATCATACAATCCGAGCACAGATGTTTAACTTTTCCCATGCTGTTCATGTTTACAGTGCACAGAAATTCCATAATTGAAGCTATGCCTTTTAGTGACTAGAGGAGACTTCACAGCTGCCACAAACTTTAGCCTTCAAACTCAGTTGTATGAAAAACAGAACTTAGCTTTTGAAGGGGGTTCCAAAGTTTTGCACAGTTTTGGGAGGGGTTTGTTTGGGAGGGGCTATTCAGCCCTCAGGCATTTATCCCTACAGGGCACAGTGGCTGTCTGCAGTTTCTGTTCCCAACTTGGTGGCATGGGACACAGTCCCTGGATGCAGTGAGTAGCTATGCCCTCTGCAGGGACCTGTGCGCCTGCTCTCAGTCTCACAGCCCTTTCTGCTCCTTCCTTATTTCCTTCCTCCAGCCTGGGGAGAAATATTGAAGTATATACAATTATCATGGTATTTTAAAAATAGACACCATGTAGTAATGCATGGTTTTTTAGACTGAATATGAAGATCTAGTGATGGATCTAATAACTTCATACTTTGGAAGTACTGAGAAATGTTAATATTTGAACATATTGCAACACCCATGATAGGACAAGAAAAGAGCTGATTTCTGCTGATGAAAAAGGCTTGGCACTGTTAATACGACAGTGGTTTATTGCCTGCATTCATAATGGAAGGAAATGCTACATTTCAGATACAGATTAATGAAAAGAAAAACATGGTTTTTTCCTTTTTTTAAATTTTAGTTTATTGATTATGCCATTACAGTTGTTCTATTCCCCTCTTCATTCCCTTCCACCCTGTACCCCCCACCCCCACCATTCCCCCCTTTAGTTTATGACCACGTGTCTCAAGTTCTTTAGATTCTATATTTCCCCTACTATTCTTGCCCTCCCCCTATCTATTTTCTACCTACCATCTATGCTACTTATTTTCTGTACCTTCTCCCCCCTTCTCCTCCCACTCCCCTGTTGCTAACCCTCCATGTGATCTTCATTTCTATGTTTCCACTCCTGATCTAGCTGTCCTTTTAGTTTGCTTTTGTTTTAGGTATGGTTGTTAATAACTGTGAGTTTGCTGTCCTTTCACTGTTCATCTTTTTTATCTTCTTTTTCTTAGGTAAGTCCCTTTAACATTTCATATAATAAGGGCTTGGTGATGATGAACTCCTTGAATTTGATCTTATCTGAGAAGCACTTTATCTGTTCTTCCATTCTAAATGAAAGCTTTGCTGGATAGCGCAATCTTGGTTGTAGGTCTTTGGTTTTCATGACTTGGAATACTTCTTTCCAGCCCCTTCTTGCCTGCAAGGTCTCTTTTGAGAAATCTGCTGACAGTCTGATGAGAAGTTCTTTGTAGGTGACTGTTCCCTTATCTCTTGCTGCTTCCAGAATTCTCTCCTTCATTTTAATCTTGGGTAAGGTAATTATGATGTGCCTTGGTGTGTTCCTTCTTGGGTACACCTTCTTGGGGACTCTCTGAGCTTCCTGGATTTCCTGGAGATCTATTTCCTTTGCCAGATTGGGGAACTTCTCCTTTATTATTTGTTCAAGTAAGTTTTCCACTGGTGGCTGTTCCTTTCCCCCTTCTGGTACCCCTATAATTTGGATGTTGGAGCGTTTGAAGGTATCCTGGAGGTTCCTAAGCCTCTCCTCATTTTTTTGAATTCTTGTTTCTTCATATTTTCCTGTTTTGCCATTATTTTCTTCCTTCTGGTTCACTCCCTTGATTTGAGTCCCAGTTTCCTTTTCATCACTATTGGTTTCCCGTGCAATTCCCTTCATTTCAATTAGTTTAGCCTTCATATGTTCCTCTAATTTGTGACTAAAATCAACCAGTTCTGTGAGCATCCTGATCACCAGTGTTTTGAACTGTGCATCTGAAAGTTTTGCTATTTCTTCGTTGCTTAGATTTATGGACTGTGGGGCATTGAGATCTTCTTGAGCCATTTTTGATCTGTTTGTGCCTGTTAATTATGAGGAGTGGAGCCTTATATGTTCACCAGGGTGGGTCAACTCAATGACTGGGTTGTGACGCTGTATGTGGGGGCGGGGTCAGAGCAGGGAAATGGCAGCTCCCTCTGCTGCCTCTCGCCGCTCCGGCCTGCTTGGTCTCGTCTCACCGCCCACTCTCTTGCTGGTCTATCAGCGCACGAATGTGGGACCACAGTCAACCTGCCCCCCTGCGTCCTCGCTGGGTCCACCGGTCGCTCATTGGGTCGCTCACTGGGTTCACCCTTTGCAACCCCATACCTGGGATCTGTGTGCCTGAGTCCATCTGACTGAGTTTTCCTGTGCAACCCCGCTCCACCAGCTGCTGGTTTCACCCCTCTTACCAGTCAGGCTGACGAATTTGTTGTTATCAGACTTCCGAAAAGTTCAGTTTTCTGTGTTCTGGCTGTGTTTTCTGTTGCTAATATTATGTCGTCTCTAAACTTGGTTGTGGGAGAAAGCATGGCGTTTCTACCTATGCCTCCATCTTGGCGGAAGTCTGAAAAACGTGATTTTTTCCCCATCCAAGTTCAAAGGCCTAAGTCATAAGAATCCCTGGTCAGATGAAATTCATCTCTCTCAGTCCCAATTTCACTAATAGCAGCCACAAATTCTCCCCAAGACTAGTAGCATAAGACCTATTGTCTGCTTGAATGAAGGAGGAGACTGTGTACATAGGTTAATATCTAAATAAAAATTTTTTATCTCCAGTGGGGTTTATTTACTCCTAGTTTACACACAGAATTCACATTCCCGATTATCTCTTTTTTTTTAACTCACAGAAAAATAGAAGCAGCAGAGTAGAAAAGAGATCTGTAGCTGCTAAGAAAACACATTTTTTAAAAAATTTATTTATTTATCTTTAGAGGGGAAGGGAAGGAGAAAGGGAGAGAAACATCAATGTATGGTTGCCCTTTGCACATCCCCTGCTGGGAACTGGCCTGCAACCCAGGCATGTGCCCTGACTGGGAATCGAACCACGATTGTCTGGTTTCGCAGACCCGAGCTCAATCCACTGAGCTACACCAGCCAGGGCTAGAAAACGCATTTATAATACCTAAAGTGATTGCAAACAGCTTAACATGTAGAGAGAAAAATTGTTTTAAGGCAGACAAGAATTCAAAAATTGTAGAAAATTGGAAAGATTTAGTTTGTGCAGGAGTCAATAACTATATTTTGCTTCACTGAGATTACAATAACTGACATTCATCACTATGACCCCATAGTCTGAAGGAAGAACTAAAGAATGTAGGCTTGTTT